GTTCCACTGATGGTATAATTGAAGTTGCAGTGGTATTGTCCTTTTCATATTGTGCCCGAGAAATACCTAGTTTTTTCTGTGACGTCCCTGCCCTACTCACTCTCTCATGCACTAGCACCTTGCTATTTGAAAGAACGATGTTTATCTGCTGTGTTGTCATGCTTCTGCTCCCTATAGCAGTCATCATAGCTTCCTATGCTCGTGTTATTCTGGCCATCATTCGCATGGGGTCTGCAGAGGGTCGCCGCAAAGCTTTCACCACCTGCTCCTCCCACCTTATGGTGGTAGGAATGTACTTTGGAGCTGGCATGTTCATATATATGAGGCCTGTTTCTGACCACTCCCCCACCCAGGACAAGATGGTGTCCGCCTTCTACACCATCCTCACTCCCATGCTGAACCACCCCCTTTTTAGCCTTCGCAACAAGGAAGTGACCAGAGCATTCATGAAGGTTTTGGGGAAGGAAAAGCATGCAGAATAACTTGCTTAAGTATCTTTATTATTTGCTTTTTTTGCCCCTACTTTTGTTACTCTTTCTTAAATTTATGTATTATTCCATTTATTCAGTACCTAACATTTATCCATCATTGTAGCAACAAAAAAAGATTTAGAAACAAAAAACTATTTGCATTGTTTTGTTTAAGAATTTCATATTTTTATTATGGTAAATATAAGATATGACTGTAAGTAAAGTTTGCACAGTAAAATGCACAGTTTTATATATTTTTAAAATCAACGTTAGTTATAAATGAGGAGTGTTTACCTGTCATAATACCCTGTTGATTGATTGTGCTTTTAAAACTTAATTTGTCTTTTAACATGTTATAGGTTTAACCTTGACAAAGGAAAAGATTTTTCCTATGTTCAATATCATAACTTGAATTGATAATTTTCTAAATGCATGACCAAGATAATTTCATACAAAATTATAAATATGAATTTAAGATCATTACGAAAATGAATTTAACATAACCAGATGGAGGAGAGAGAGTCTCTAGGACAAGTTGTACTCTAGCATATTGAACTTTAGTTGTATTGGAATGTCTTCTTCTTTAGGATACTGGATGATTGGGGAGTTTCCATTTATTTCATTCCCCTAGAGACTTCAACCTTACAAATAGGAGACTAAAATGTGAATATGAATCTTTCAGTTCTGGATTCACCACACTTAGACATTTTAATCCTTATGTGAGTAATGAACTGCAATTGTATGAATCATGATTAATTTTTAATCGAGAAGTCTTTCATTGTTAAGTCTACACATATTTTACTCATGTATTGCATACTTGCCATAGATATTGTTGTTTTAATATTTACATAAAATTAAGTATGATCCTAGAGATTGTCATGCTTTTATGAGGAAAAAAATCTCTATAGCCTAATATCAATACAAACTGTTCTGTTAAATCTCTGGCACAATATTCTCACTGTATTAATTTTCTTCACTGCATAATAGCCTTAAATAGCAGTCATTTATTATGCCATGGTTTGTATGAATCAAGAGTTCTGGCATGGCTAACCTAATTCTTCTGCTCAAGATCTTACAGAATAGTAAACCAGATTTAGGCTAGGACTGACACTTCATCTGGGGCTCATGGTTACTTCCAAGCTCACACAGTTATTAAAATAAGTTTTTTCTATGCAGCTAAATAATCTTTGGTTTCTTGCTTGTTAAAAGCCAAGAGAAGGGTTTTTATGGCCTCAGGGAAAGCCTCATGCCTCTTATACGGATTCTACAACTGATGAGGCCAACCTAATACAGAATCAGCCCCCTTAGATTGCTTAGAATCAATTGATTTGGAACTTTAGTTACATCTGCATGACCATTTTTACCTTATAGTATAACACAAGAGTGACACCAAGAAATGTAGATCATGGGAGACAGTATAGATTGTTGCTACCGAACACACACAGATTACTTAAAGACTCATATCCATGAAAGTCATAAAAATAAAATTACAATTTCTTATTCTGTCAGTAATGTGAGATAACATTGGTTAGTGTCCTAATGATTGACTGGATTAAGAAAATTTAGAAATTCTTTAATATATTAATACACCTATTTAATGAATCAACATAGTTTATGTAATTTGATTATACTCATAATTTGTTCCTAGCACATACAGTGTATCTTCTATTTACTATAAATACCTAATACAATAAATAGGAAAACACTGTTGATCTCAAAAACAATTAAGAATGCTGTACTCTATATTTTTTCCATTTTTCATTTCTAGAAGTTAATTAAAATAAATACTGTCTTTTTAGGATTCTCTGCACAAGTAAATAAATAAGAAAGACTAAGTTAAATGAAGTATTATTCATAATGTATTATTTACTTTATTGAACAAAAATATCTAACTCATAATATCACTTAATATTTTTTATGGAAAGTCAACTCATTCATAGGTTAAACAAGTTTTTTTTTTTTTTTGCATTCAGATGAAAGGAGATCAATATAAAATAAGTATTATATTACCCTATCGAGATTTTTGTGTATAGGTCTTTCACATGCTTCATTAAGTTTATTCTTAGGCATTTTATATTTTTTATTACAATTGCAAAACAACTTAATTTTTTTCTGAAATTTCACTCTTAGTATATGAGAATACTGTAGATTTTTGTACATTAATTTTGTATTCTGCAACTTTACTGTATTTGTTTATTGCTTCTAATAGTTTTTTTGGTGGAGTATTAGGATTTACTATATAGAGAATCATATCATTTGCAAAAAGTAACAAATTTACATCTTCATTCCCAATTTGGGTTGAATGTCTTTTATTTATTTCTCTTGTCTGAATGCTCTAGCTAGGAATTCCAATGTGGTACATATATACAATGGAATACTACTCAGCAATAAGAAAAGGTGAAATATTGCCATTTGTGACAACATGGATGGATCCTGAGATTATCATGCTGAGCAAAGTAAGTCAGACAGAAAAAGCTGAGAACCACGTAATTTCACTAATATATGAGATATAAAACTGAAAGCAACAAATGAACAAGATAGAGATTCATACACACAGACCACAGTTTAGTGGTACCAGAGGAAAGAGGGGTGGGGGAGGTATATAAGGGAAAAGGGGGTCATATATTTGATGACAGAAGGAAATTTAACCTTTGGGTGGTGAACAAACAATGCGGTATACATATGACATATTATTGAATTGTACCCTTGAAACCTATATAATTTTTTTAACCAGTGTCACTCCAATCAATGTTTTTAAAAAACAAAAGTGCTCTAGCAGGTTTCAAAATGATTCCTTTTCCTTTCCCCTAGCCAGAATCAAGAGGAAATTTCTCCTGATTTTTACTGTGGGATCATGATTGAGTTCCTAGATATAAGTATCACAAAATTTTAGGGGTCCTCTAGGACTGGGTCCCCTGGAGTTTTTAACACTCGTGATTGTCTTCAGGGAGCTTCCTGCGAGTTGTCAAGTACAGTTCCCACTTTCCTATCCCAGCAACACTCCCATGGCAGTTTTTGCCAGGACGCCCTATTCTTGCCCTGCCTGCTTCCCAGTCTTGAAAGTATTTATTTGCTATGTGTTCTTCCCTCTGGTACAGATGGTCCCTTCCTTGAAATGGTTTGACTTACTATGTTTTGACTTAACAATGGTTGAAAGCAGTACATATTCAGTAACCTGTATTTCAACTATTGGATTTTGATCTTTTCCTGGGCTAGCAATACTCTGTCATGATGCCAGGCAGTGGTGGTGTCCACAGCCCCCAGTCAGCCACAAGATTGTGAGGGAAACTACCGGTGCTCTGTGATGTAAGACTGCATGCATTTTTGATTTGCAATGTTTTCAACTTATGATGGGCTTATCTGGACGTAACTCATTGAAAGCTGAGAAGCATCTGCACATCCAGGAAGACTCAACAATTTCTCAGCTTGTTCAGCTTTTTATATTTTTTAGGATGGTGGATGATTTCCAAGCTACTTACATGTGAAACTGGAAACCATCCTCCCACTTTCAATCAATTATTAACTGCATAGAATGTATTTCCTACCTTCTCTTTCATTTCATTTTGTTTCTCATTTTTTCCATTAACACCTCTATTTCTGTTCCATTGAATTGTGTTGATTCATTTTAAATCTCTGCACATATCTTTTTGTGGGTATTCTATAGATATTTTCTTTGTGGTTACCTTGGTGATCACATATAACATTCTATAGTTATAGCAATCTATTTTAATCTGATAGCAACTTAAGTCATATAAAATACTCTACTCTTTTATTTTTCTGCCCTATCTTCGTAATTGATGTCACCAGTTATACCTTTATGTATTGTCTACACATGAACATATATTTATAATGTTTTCATATGCTTTTATGTTTAAATCATGTAGCAGAATACAAAATAAACTTACAAAGTGAAATTTTAATAATAGTTTTTATGTTAGTTTATGAATTTAACTTTACCGAAAGACTCTATGGCTTTGAGGTACTATCTAGTCTCCTTGCTGTTCAACTTGGAGGAGCTTTTTAACAATTCTTCTAGGTCTAGCGTTCATAAACTCTCTCTGATTTTAATTTTTTGTGTATGTTTTAATTACTCCTTTTGAAGGACAGTTTTGGCCAGATATAGTGTTCTTGGTTGACTGGTTTTGTTTGTTTGTTTAGCACTTTAAATATTTCATCCTATTGTATTCTGACCGACAAGGTTTCTACTAGGAAATTAGCTGATAATCCTATAGGGTATACCTTGTGCATGAGGAGTTGATTGTTTCTTGCTGGTTTCATGATTCTCTTTTTTATTGTCTTTTGACAGTTTTTGTTTGTTTGTTTGTTCTATTTATTCTTATTTTTTTATGGTGACATTGGTCAATAAAATCCAGTAAGTTTCAAGTGTACAATTTAATAGTATGGGGTGTGTGTGTGTGTGTGTGTGTGTGTGTGTGTGTATTGCATTGTGTGTTTACTCTCATTGTTTCTTTCTGTCACCACATATTTGACCCCTTTTACCTCATCTATCTCCATCCTCCCCCCTTCCCCCTCCTCTTTGGTAAACACTAGTTCATGTGCATGAACTTCTGCTTCTTTGTAATGTTTCCTTGCTGCTTTTAAGCTCATATCCCACATATAAGTGATATCATATGGTTTTCAACTTTTTCTGTCTGGCTTATTTTGCTTAGCATGATTATATCAAGGTCCATCCATGTTGCCACAAATGGCAGTATTTCGTCTGTTCTTATGGCTAAGTAATGTTTCATTGTATATACGTACCACAGTTTCTTTATCTAAATCATCTATCATAGGACACTTTGGTTGCTTCCATTTCACTCAGAGTACTCTCCATGGTCTATAACTTCCTGAAAAATTGAGTTTACCCTGCTTAGTTTTTCTTTGACCTGACTTACTATTTCTCTCTCATGATCATTCCATACTTTTCCTACCAGATGCCTTGCTGTACGCAGACCAGCATTTCACACCTTAATGCTTTGGACTGACTGATCCTTTTGCCCAGAGAGCCCTCC